TAATTATTTTACACAATTACACTAAAACCCCACAAGTTAAGACTATTACAAAAAAAGTTAAGCATCCATACCCTTTACAAGAAAAGTAAACACTTAGCATGCTTTTCTAAGAAAATAGAAATACACATTTCTAAGAAATCATATATCATGAGTGCATGCAAAAATGGCAGCAAAACCGAACACAAAAAGCGAGGTTATGCCAACAAAGTGACAAACGGGAAAAAGACAAAAAGTGAATAGTGTCAAAAAATGAAAAATGTGGAAATGACTCGGTCCTTAAAGGAAGTTGTCAATCCAAAGGAAAGAGACTTAGAAACCAATTCTAAGCACTCGAGACGACACTAAGCGACGAGAAAATGAGCTCAGACAAGAAATTTCAACGAAAAAAATTCATCCGTGAAATTCTGAGGAAAAAGAAAAGGAAGGAAATGACTGGGTCATTACAATGTTAGTATACAAGTCCTAGTCATCACAATTGCCAAGTTAAAAACTTAATTAAGTCAAAGGAACCACTAAATAGATTTTAATTAATCCTTTTACTTAAAATCTATTGATTTTTAAACTTATGCAAATGCTCTCAAATTAAAGTATGTTAAGGAACATGCCAAGGCCTTTTTAAATGTCACATTACAACTTAATTTCATGCTTGCTATAACCATATGAATTAAACTTTCGCAAAAGATAAATATTAAATAAATTTTGTGATTCTTAATCAAATGATCCAAATTTAATATATGTCAATAACCATACCAAGGCTTAATTTTCTAGCATGCCACAATTTAATTCCAAGTTTCATAACATCATGGAAATTAAATCTTAAACTAAGAAAATAATTAAATTAAATTCTAGAACTTAAATTAAAGCATGCATACAACTTGTATAAACATCAATAACATGCTTTGCATCAAGAATAATAAATTATAACACCCCCTACCTTGATTTGAGATGAAAATCTCAAAAGCCATCAAAATGAAACGGCTCCGAATCCGACAATACTTCGGGGTTTTGTCAGGGACAACGCCATGAACATTAAACTCCAAAGAAGACCTACCAAAATCCTAACTTGACCTCAAACCTGAACTCAAAAGTTGGCCAAAAACGGGTTTTAATAAGGAGGAAAGATGCGCGTAGTCAAGACAAACACAAAACGCAAAGGCACTTCGACTTTTTAACAGAGGGAAGGAGGTTTAATTGAGAGAAGAAGGGTGGCAGCCCCCTTGGGCTGCCATGGCAGCTTCTGGTCGTGCATGAAGAGAGGGGAAGATGAATTTTTAATTTTATAACCCCCTATTTATAGTAAAACCCTAAAAGTGCCTCGAAAGGGCCTCGTTAGGTCCAGAAAAGTGAAATTTGAGCAGACGCGCTCAAACGGAAAAACTCCGTGAACAAAAAAGATTCAAAATGAGAAAATATGAACAACAGAAAAAATAGCATCAAAAACTGAGTCCTGAGCAGAGAGATATACCCCAAACAAGTTCGGCGAAAACCGCGGCCAAAAACCTTGAAACTGGAGAAAAACAACCAGAAGGGAATTCTATGAGTACACAACTCGATGAAAAGTGAAAATAAATCCCGTACAAGGATTCAGGCTCAAAACAAGGCATTTAGCAATAACTTTCATTAATTGCACAATGGCCCCTACAAAAGTGATAACTGCGAAACTGCCCTAGAATGAAAATATCTTCCAAAAGTATTTTCTTAGAAACCCCTAAAATAAAATATCTTCAAAAGATATTTATGAAAAACACCCCAAAAAAAGAAAAATTTTCCAAAGAACTGTGCATCCATGCCCTTACGGACACCGAGAGCAACCAAAGTACTTTTCTACAAAAGTAAAGATACGTATTTCGTGGAAACCACTTAGAATAAAGGTACGTGAAGTCAAAAACCAACTCCAAGCATGAGAAGTGAGGTTGTGCCAAAAAGTGACAAACGGGAAAAAGGCAGAATAGGGAAAAGGACGAAATAGAGAAAATGACGAAAAGTGAATAGTGTCCCGAAAAGTGAAAATGCGGAAATGACTTGGTCCTTAGAGGAAGTTGTCAATCCAAAGAAAAGAGTCTCAGTAACCATTTCCGAGCACTCAAAATGATACTAAGCGATGAGAAACCAAACACAAAAAGGAAAGGACAACGGAAAAAATTTATCCGTAAAATTTGAGGAAAGGGAAAGGAAGGAAAATGACTGGGTCATTACAGTTTTTTTTTTTATTTATTTTTTATTTATTTATTTTTGATCTAAGGGTCCTTCTGGTGGTTTTTTTTTTTTTTGGTAGGCTGCCGGTGTTTGTTCGACAACATATTTGGTGGAAAGCGCCGATTTTTCCGGCCTTTTTTTTTTTTTCTCTTTCTTCCCTCTTCGACTTGTGGACCAGCCTTAGTTTAGTACTATGAAAGATTCTAGTAGCCAAAATGACACTTTATCTTCGAGTTGTGGCCAAACTTCCGCAATAGCCGATACTATTGGTGGGTATACTACTCCACAGATTGTTGTCCCTACTGCTTCAACTTCTCACAGATCATCTTTTCAAGATTTCAAACAGTTACAGTCCCAGATTGGTCAGCTTCAGGAGCAGTTTGGAGCCTTATCTACCAGGGCCGGCTCTTCTACTCCCATGACTGCTATAGCTACAGGTACTCCTTCTGCTTATATCATGTTAAAGCGGGAAAACCTACTTGGGTTTTGGATTCCAAAGCCAATGACCACATGACTGGTGAGTTGCCATTATTTTCTACTCCCGTTACCTCTGTTAATCAAGCTGTTAGTCTAGTCGATGGGTCAACCACCATTATTCGTAGCAAAGGAAATGTTCATCTATCCCTTGATATTATTTTGCCATCTGTTCTTTATGTTCCTAACTTTACATTTAATCTTCTATTGGTTAGCAAGCTTGCCAAATCACTAAATTGTGCAGTGATTTTCTTTCCTCATTACTGTGTTTTAAAGGACCTATGTTCGAAGAGGATTTTTGGCAGAGGATATGAGCACGATGGCCTCTACTACTTTGGGGATCCTCCACCGACACCCCTTCCACTTGCTTCAAGCTTTTAAGCCTCTATTCTTCCATTTTTGAGGTCTTATGATTTTTCTTTTCAGACTTTAAGTTTATGGCATGCTCGCCTTGGGCATGTAAACTTTCAGTATTTATGTCTACTTTTCCCTTCATTAAAAATGGCTTGTAAGGATAATAAGTTTCAATGTAAGATTTGTGAGCTTTCTAAACATACTAGAACCAGTTATATTTCTCATATGCATCGTGCACCTAGTATGTTTGATCTCATATATTCTGATGTGCGGGCTCCTTCTCCTGTTACTGCTTTTTTGGGGCATCGTTATTATCTCACATTCATTAATGATTATTCCCGTTGTACATGGGTATATTTACTTAAAAAGAAATCTGAAGTTTTTCCCTTGTTCACTCAATTCCTCCAAATGGTCAAAACTCAATATAAAACTATTGTTAGGAATATTAGGTTTGACAATGGTCGTGAATATGTTTCCAATGAGTTTCGGTCTTAACTTAACCAACAGGGTATTCTTCATCAACTTACTTACCTATATACCCCTAAACAGAATGGTGTTGCAGAGCGTAAAAACCGCCAACTAATGTCAGTTGTTCGATGTCTTTTAAGTGGTATGAATGTGCCAAAGTTATTTTGGCACATGACGGTTCTTACAGCTACTTTTCTCATTAATCGTACCCCTAGTAGAGTCTTAAATGGTAAGGCCCCCTTACAAGTGCTTCAGCCTGATATTACTCTTTTTTCCATCATGCCTCGGGTGTTTGGATGTCATGTTTTGTTCAGAATCATTGCCCTTCTCGTACTAAACTTGATGACAAAGCCATTAAATGTATTTTTTTAAGATACTCTTCCATGTCAAAAGGTTACCGGTGTTATGATCCAGTACACAAACACATGTATCACTCTCTTGATGTCACCTTTCATGAGTATTCCCCTTTTTTTGGTTCTAACACTATCTTGCAGGAAACTTCTACTCTCAATCAAGGGCTTCTTATCTTGCTCGTCCTCTTCCTATTTTCCAAGAAGAGCCTTCTCTTGTTGTTTCCTCACCCCCTTTGTAGGTCTATTCACGCCATCCTCGTGCTTCACCTCAACTGCCTTCATCTTCTTCAGACTCAGGTTCAGGTACATCTCTTTCTCCTTTACATTCTATTCTTGTTCCCGAGTCTCTGTACCCAACTCGGGACTGCAAACCCCCTGCTAGATTTAGATTTGCTTGTAGTACTGATCATCCTATTTCGCAGTATATCTCCTATGATGGTCTTTCAGGGTCTTACCGAGCCTTTCTAGGCAAACTTATTCCATTTCTATTCCCAAAACATTGTCTGAGGCTCTCCAGAATCCCAATTGGATGTCTGCTATGAAGGTACAAATGGATGCTTTGCAACATAATGAAACATGGGAGCTTGTATCTCTCCCTCCTGGTGAACAAACTGTTGGTTGCAAATGGGTATTCAGTGTTAAATATCTAGTTGATGGTTCTATTGATCGGTATAAAACCCGCTTGGTGGCCAAAGGGTTTACTCAGATTCCTAGTAAAGACTTTAATGATACCTTCACTCCTGTGGCTAAATTGACCTCAGTTCGTTTGCTTATTTCCCTTGTTACCTCTCACAATTGGCCTCTTCATCAGCTTGATGTAAAGAATGCTTTCCTTAACGGTGATCTTCTTGAGACTAATTACATGGATCCTCCACCCGATTTTTGGGCTGAAGGGGGGTATGCTGGAAAGGTCTGTCGATTGTGAAAGTCTTTGTATGGATTAAAAAAATCTCGTAGAGCTTGGTTCAGCCGCTTTAGTGATGTAATTCTATCCATGGAGTTTGTTAGATGTCATTCTGACCATACATGTTTTATACGCCGTTCATCCAATGGTCGATGTATCATTTTGCTTGTCTATGTTGATGATATCATCGTTACTGGCAATGACATCCCTGGGATTGCTCAAGTAAATATTCAATTGGCTAAAGCTTTGATATGAAAGACCTTGGGCAATTCAGATATTTCTTGGGAATTAAGGTTGCTAGATCTAAGCAGGGCATCTCTTTATTGCAAAGGAAGTATGTCTTGGATCTTCTTCGAGACACAGGTATGCTTGGGTGTAAACCTGCTTCCACTCCTATGGATCCTAATCTGAAGATCTCGACTGAGTCCGGAGATCTCCTTTCTGATCCCTCACAGTATCAGTGTTTGGTAGGAAGATTAATTTATCTTACCAACACCCATCCTGATTTGGCTTTTGTGGTTAGTGTTGTGAGCCAATTTATGCATGCTCCTCGTACAGCTCATATGGATGCAGTATATCATATTCTTCGATATCTTAAGTCCTGTCCTGGACTTGGATTATTCTATTCTTCTAGCAAGCAAGTTGGGTTATCTTGTTTCAATGATGCAGACTATGCTGGGTCCAAGATTAACAGATGTTCCACATCTGGCTTCTATACTTTCTATGGAGACCATCTTATATCCTGGAAAAGTAAGAAACAACCTGTAGTTTTGAGATCTTCAGTAGAGGCTAAGTATCGTGCCATGGCTTAGGGTACTTGTGAGATTCTCTGGCTTCGATCTTTCTTGGAGGAGCTAGGGCTAGATGAAAAATAGTCCTCGGATATGTTTTATGATAATAAGTTAACCATCATGCTTGCTTCAAATTCTATTCTTCACGAGAGGACTAAACATATAAAGGTGGACATTCATTTTATCAGAGAGAAGGTTCGTTCGGGAATTATTAAGCTGTGCTTTATTCGTTCCTCTAATCAGTTGGCTAATGTGTTCACCAAATCTATTGGTCTATCTTTGTTTCATTCCTCGATTACCAATCTGGGCTTGATTGATATCTTCACTCCAGCTTGAGGGGGAGTGGGGGAGTGTTGAAATATCTTTATTATTTTTATTTTTATTTTTATTAGCTGTTTTTTAGCCTTTTATTAGATATTTTATGTAAGATCCCTATAATCATGGGATCACGTAGATAAGATCCCTGTAATTATGGGATCCCGTAAATCAAATCCCCATAATCATGAGATCCCGTAGATTTTGGCATATTTTATATCTTTCTTTGATTTGGTTTCCTTTTTTTGTACCCTATTCTTGTATATAAATATAGATCTTGGCTCTTAGTTTGAGTAAGCCAAAACCCAAAACTTCTTCTTCAAAATTAGCTCATTTAAACCTTATGAACCTAAAAAAGACAAAAACACAAATTTAGACTAAAACGAGAAAATAAAGATAGATGAAAGGACTAAAACACCCTAACTTAGGTGCTAAAATGTGCAATATTTGAGCACTTATCAGTAGCCCCCATTACAACACACACGACTCATAGGTATCCCCCGTTACAACACAAGACTTACAGGTATCCCCCGTTACAACATAACACACATGACTCACAGGTAGCCCCCATTACAATACACACGACTTACAAGTATCCCTGGTTACATCACACTGTGGTGGTGTCTTCGTCGTGCACACTAAATTGGTGTGATATAGTATGGCCAAGTTTGAATTTATAGAATGCTACTACCACTACTAACTAAAATATAGCAAGATTGAGTAGGGATTATCCTAAGGGAAATGAGTCGTGCTTTGGAATCAATTGTTGGATTAGTAGGTCGAATGATCAAAAGAGAGATTGGATTTGATTAAACTAAGATTCAATTAAAAATAATGTAATTATCAATCCAGAATTTAGAGGGAAAATAAATAAGAAAGAGAGGACTTGGGGCTTAGAGTTCACCACTAAGCTTTACTTCACTAAACACTAACAATTGTAAATTAATGGGGACATTTAAGTTGTAAAATGTGTGTGTGTGTCACTAACTGAAAACTAAGCATGGATGGCTAATAAGCATAGATTGTTTAGTCAATTCAATGAATAGCACAACATATCAAATGAGACCATAACCGATTCAATTAAACCATAATTAGAACACACATAATAATCTAAAGAAATATACTCTTTGCACTCATAAGTATGGAACATCAAGAAACAAGAATGGATTGTCCACCTATATAAGAAATTAAAACAATTACACTACATCTAAGCTAGATACATGAAAATTAAACTAAGGGTGTGGCACAATCTATCAAAAAACAAGTGTGAACCATCAAATAAACTACAAGAATATTCAGTTAAGCACTATGCTTTGACCATCACTAAATTAACAACATCAATACACATAAACGTGCATTAATTTCATTAAATCTAGAGAAAAACACATGAATATCCATTCTAGCATACATAGACAGATGGATAAAAGTAAACGATCAATTAAAATCATTAATCCATACAAATCAAGTAAAAATTACAAAATCTATATTTATTCAAGGTCAAAACATTTATTACAACTAAAATCTCCAAAAATATACAAAAGCTAAGTTTAGGAAGCAAGCCTAATGGCTATCTTTAGCCCCAAGTGAAGGATTTAGCCACTTATTATAGTGGTCATGGAAACCTCAAGGGCTAACTTGGAGGTTGGCATCATCATCTTCTTCCTTGCCTTATTCCCAAAACCCTAGTTCTAGAGAGGAAAAATATCTCCTACTACGAATATTACAAGATAAAAATGAAAAAAAATTTCCATTAATTCATTACAAGCCTCTTTAAGTAGGCACCAAGTCAGAAATATAGCCTATGATTAGAGGAAATTCGCAGATACACAAGTTAGGTAGAGATCGGCGTGCTTGGGAATTAGACAGCACACTGCCAGCAGGCAGTTCGAACGATCGAAGCTTTTTGATTGATCAAAAACTTATCTTCGATCGATCGAAGATGACGTGGCATCAAAAATATCTTTCAGGCCTTATCCACTTTGTTGAGTTGGCACCGTCTCATTTCAGTCAATTGTAGCTGACTTCGATCGATCGGGATTCCCTTTGATCGATCGAAGTTCCTCTGCTGTATGTTCTTGGCTTTTTTCCAACTATGCTCCTTAGCTCCAAAATAAGCTAAATGGCTCTTATTAGCCTGTTTGAACTTTATTAACCTGAAATAAGTAATAACAAAAATAAGTATTTAAGATATGAAATTAAGATAAATGAATTGACTAAAATACCCTAGCTTATGTACTAAAATGTGTCACATTTGAGCACTTATCACACCCCCAAACTTTGATATTGCTAGTCCCTAGCAACGAACTACAAGAAAAAGAAAGACATAAATAACTATACCACTATGAACAAGAAATCAATAAAATGAAAACGCCACTTTTGTAGGGAACACGATTGCATTTAGCGTATGCAACAAGCAAGGTTACCCTTAGTGGATGAGTGAAGTCTCGTGAGGGTTTCCAAAAATGATACCCACAAATATTTAGCTCTTTCTTAAAAGAGAGGAACCAATATACAAAACAAGCATTGGGAGAAAACTACCTCAAATATGCAATTTTTCAACCATTTCTAAGCAATCTCCCAAAATTTCAATACCAAGCAACCAAATATGGTCCTCCATACATCAAGACAATGATCATGCTAATCAAAACAACTCTAGAATCCTTTTTAAGTGAACCGACATCAAGTATATTGCTATTTCAGCCAACTAAAGAAATGATCACATCTGGCCTCAAACTAGCACACAAATCTAGTATCGATCATCAAAACAAAGAATGGATCTTTTATTAAAGCTTTATTGAACTAGGTGCACTTATTCTTTTCACTTGATTTTTTTTTTTTTTACTAACCTAAAGGATCAAAGATGGAAGCGTGGTGTAATGTAGTGATCTATTAAGCTTTCTAGCAATCAATGGGTCGAATGTTAGGTCAATGACTCCCAAATCAGACGGCTTTAGGGCATTAGGCGTTTAAACACCCCTAAGGACTTACAAGCTCAAATCGTCTAGGCTACAAATCAAAACTACCTCCATCTAATCATTTCCCACTTCTTACCTTTGGGGAGAAATCCTCACTTTTTTATTTACTTTTTGCAAACTTTTTTTTTTTTTTAAATACCTAGAGTTTAGGCCCTCCACCTTTCGGTGTGAGAAATTCAATGCTTGATGAGGCTATAATCCCGGCTACTCAATGAAAAGGGATTGTTATCCACTTTTATTAAGATGAAAGCTTTCAATACATTAGTAGCTTAATTGGGATATAAACAAATCAGTAGTCAATAAAGCATGCACCCCATAACTGAATGCTAGTGTGCGCCTGTGCTAGTGTAGAATCCTAGAGTGAATCTCAAAACAATCACAAAATTAGGATGATATGGACCATAAATGCAAACAAGATATCAATCTTTCAAAAACTTTACTCCTAAATGGCATCCACAAGGTATACAAGGAGTATTGGACTCTCAAGTTAAGCAATTTTAAATTCTAAGTATCATAGTCCTCAAAGATCAAAATCATAGCCCAGGACTCTCAAATCATACCATATGCATAGAAATCAAATGCGACATGTAAAATATGCAAACACACCCCCAAACTTAATCTATGCATTGTCCTTAATGTGCAAAGAAGCAACAGATAATGGAAAGAGTATACCAAATGGGTGAAGCAAAAGCGACTCGGTAACAGAAGCTTAGCTTTGGAAGGTGCACCCCCAAACTTAGATTCCGAAAACCTATCTGAAAATTGTCACACTAACAACTGTCAAAGCATATGCATCAATGATATAAATAAGAGGTGAATCTGAGAACTGAGCAAAAATCATGGTATCTAACAATGAAAAGCTTAGAATATCCAAAACTCCATATATATATATAAAATAAATCCAAGATCAGATATCCAGAAATCAATGTAGCAGTGCCATGCAAGAAACAATATCCAAAATATCTAAAATATCCAAAACCAGTGCAAGTGTCAAAATAAGTAATAATATCTCAATAATAACAGTGCATATATCAATGATAGATAAGAAGTAGGAGGGAGAAAGAGATAGTGGAATCAAGTCTATGTGCAGCTGAGTTACCTCTGATCTGTAGCTAAAATCAGTACTGGTATGTGCTATCGGCTTGGTAGGAGGGGCATGTGAAGGGCCAGCCTGCTGAGATGCAATAGGTATATCTGGTTGCGAAGTGGACCCTGAAGTGGTATTCCCCTTAAATGCAGCATATGGAGATAATGTAGTGACCATGGTCAGCTCAGTAGGAAAAGTGGAGCTGTAAGGTAAAGAGGCTCTTGAGAATTATCAACCAATGGAGAAGTGTGGGGGCATCAACTGGTTGTAGCTATGGCCAGAATAGAAATATCAATCTCCTGGCCATCAATGGTAGTGTGAAGAAGAAGTTGGTCATCCTCATCCATCCAAAGGTGCAAGTAGAATAGGGTAACCAACTGGGGGTAGACGACTGTGTCTGCTGGTGTCATGATGGAATCAATGCCCCTTCGCACAACCTCATCATATGACCACTTGGTCTGGTCCAACTCAGAAAATAGATCCCTATCAAATCTGTACTCGGTCTCCTATGTCTTATTGGCATAAGACTTAGTGGGAACCTCTCGGATAATAGTATGCTCAGCGTCTATGGAAGATAGCTGTAATGACTCGGTCATTTTCCTTCCTTTCCCTTTTCTCAAATTTTACGAAATTTTTTTTTTTTG